ACGCTAGCATGTAGACTGACCTGGTTAAGCTAACTCGGCTAACCCTGTCAAGCTCAAGCAGCAGAGCACTGTGTGGAAGTGCTGAGAGTGAAGTCCACCTACCTAAAGTCCTCCAGGTACGTGTACTGGTCTTCGTTCTTCAGCAGCTCACACTTGATGAGGTTGTCACGCAGGTTGAACTGAGGCATGGTCAGTATCTGAGCTTTGTTGGACGCGGTGTGGCTGGACGAGTGCACCAGGTCATCCCGGAGCTCCCGGCTGAAGCTGCTGTTGCTGCTGGAGACCAGAGGGAAGAAATGACACCGGGGTGTGAGTGGAGACCAGGTGTGAAAACCAACAAACTCGTGTACAAACGGACGGCTATTTCATTTACATCAGAAGCACAAATGCTATAACTGTCAATGAGTCTTTTTAGTTAGCGGGGAATTGTTATTATTTGTGGTAAAAAAAAAAACCCAAAGAAGATGGTTTTAAAACCAGGTCACCAACATTCACTGATCGCTTTATTATAACCGTTGATTTGAGTAATTTTTTAAAACACAGCCGGATTGATTCCTGTGTAACAGACATTTTTCTGATCAAGAACCCACAGACAATTGGAGAGAAAGAGTATAAATGTATAAAATGATGACGATTTCAAATCATCAGAATCAACAAACTTGAGATTTTTTTAATTAAGGGTGTAAGAAAAAAAATGGATATACTGAATTATTGCGATTTTCGTTTCACTATACATTATCAATATTCTACTTTATCAATTTTTTTTATTATCACCAATTCCCAGTCCAATATTCCTGGTGTTGGTTCATGTTCTTTTTCTTTTCTTTCTCCTCTAGTGATTCCAAATGTAGATCCTTCTGTTCCAGTGTTAGTAACCTGATGTTCAGATGGAACAGAGTCTGAGACTAGGATCACACTGGGACTACAGTTACACATTGTATATATACAATATATATCGTATGGTTGGTCCTGTATCGTGATGCGTATTGTGTCATTTCTAGGGTCTTCCATACCCTATCAGTGCAGACAGCCTCACCTGTCTGGGTTTGAAACCCCTCTGTTCTTGTGCACGCCACTGTTGGAAGCTTTCTCCTTTTCTGCACTTCCCTTTTTATCTGATGATTTCTCTGTCGGAGAGAAGTGACAGTCGTTCAATACAGT